TCTTGTGCAAAGGATTGAGTAATAAGCTGTATTAATATAAAGAAAATCATGGATTTATTTCGAAGTTTATCATTTATTTTATTTTTATCAGTGATTAATTATCAAGGTAAGTCCATACCTGAGTAATACCTGCACAAAGTAAAGCGTAACCTGTTTTATTTATCAAAACAATGACTCCGGTCAATATACATGTTCTTTCTTTCACTTCCTTAACAATTAAAATAAATAATGAAGCGTTTGACTGAGTTTAGAGAGTTTTAGGGGAGAGTTGCAGATGTAAAACATGCTTCTTTTGAAAGCGGTATTCATGGGGAATTTGGGGAGAGGCGTAGAGGGGAGAGAGTGGTGACTAGTGCTTTGTAAAGGAAGGAGTGCCACTTTTCAGTTCCTTAGTTAGTCTGAAGAGTTGAATATTATATAGTACTGGTATTTTCACTAGAGTAACAGAAAGACTTTGAAGAGGAAACGAATTTTCTTTGCTGAAGGATACATCTGTGGTCAAGCTACTAATTAATGGCCTTTTTTGGGTTTTTGGTTTCAACTCAAAAGGAGTATATTTTTCTAGAAGAGAGCAAAATTTGCATTTAAATTATTTTAATAACTGTTCAAAAATTTCTAAAGTTATGGATGTATTTAAGACCCAAACAATTAAAAAATATATATATACTGGTGTCTATATCTCAATTTTAATTTTTGAATTTACCATGTAATTCTACAGGAAAAGTAAATAAATATACAAACTTAAGACCTTTAAAAGATGAGCTATAATATAATTTTTACTAGGTAATAGATTTAATGGTTGAAAGTAATAAAAACGTGACTGGAAATCTGAAAAATTACGTTTTTTTTTAAATATTTTTTTTCAAACGGATGTTCCATACTTCTTAATCATCAAAAAAGTAAACATTTAGACAACATAAAGATATTGTCCAACAATAAAAAGAATAAAGGCTATGTATCCAAATTTTTGCGACATACCACGATACAACGAAACCCACGATATAATGAGAATCGAGTATATATTAAGCGGCAATGGAAGTACGTGTTTTATTTTTGGACAGCTCAATTTATGTTTACATAGAAGTGATTTTCATAAAAGGTTATAAACTTTAAGAGAATGGCAACAAAATAGCTTGCTTCATTGATCATGTTCATAGCTATAATTTCACAAAAAAACGTTTCTGGCCTTATTGACATAATTAAGTTTCATGACAATTTAAAACAGCAATTGTTTGGTAATTAATATTGGCAACTAAAAACTTCAAATTATTTTTATTTTCCTTTTAAAGGGTACATACAGTGTATGGTAATGCTTTCATTTAAAAAGAACAAACTTGAGTCCAATTCACCTGAGGATGCTTTGTGGCAAGTTAAGTTAAAATTAGCCCAGTTATTCTTGAGAAGAAGATGAAAATGTGAAAAGTTTACAGACAGATGGACTACAGACAAAATGTGATAAGAAAAGCAAACTTGAGCTTTCGTGTATGGTACAGACAGACATACAGGTAAACAGGAAGTTGATACTGAATTTAAACAAAAACTATTGCTAATTGTCGTGAACAATTACAGATGTTCCCCAAACGCTCCCAAAATCCCTTTTTGTGTCTAATTCCTGTAAGACATTTTTAAAAGTATAATCATTATCGAAGTATATCATCAAAGAACAAGAGGCCCAAGGGCCTCGAATCGCTCTTCTGATAAATCATACAATCTATCCTAAGACCTAAGATGCAACAACTGGCAAAGTTTGATGATTCTTAGCCAGTTAGGGCTGAAGATATTTAAATGTAACTATAAAATACTATAAGCAGGTCATGGTGACCTATTTTTTGATTGAAATTTTCTGAGGACACAATATGGAATAATTGACAAAGATTGATGATTATAAGCCAATAAGTACTTGATATATTCAAAAGTGGGTCACAGTGACCTACTTATTGATCAACATTCTCCGAAAACCCAAGGTGCATCAACTGACAAAGTTTGACAAATCTCCAAGCCAATAAGTACCATAGAATACTCGAATATAGCCATAAAATGTCACAAGTAGGTCACCATGACCTAGTTTTTGATCATCATTCTCCGAGAACCCAAGATGCATCAAATAAGAAAGTTTGATGATTCTAAACCAAATAAGTACCTGAAATACTTAAATATAGCCATAAAATGTCAAAAGTAGGTCACCGTGACCTACCTTTTGGTCGACATTCTCAGAAAACCCAAGATGCATCTACTGACAAAGTTTGATGATTCTAAGCCAGTCAATACCTGAGATATTCAAAAGTAGGTCACCATGACCTACTTTTTGATCAATATGCTTGGAAAACCTAAGATGTATCGAATGACAAAGTTTGATGATTCTAGACCAGATAGTACCTGAGATATATAAAACTAGCCATAAAATGTCAAAAGTAGGTCACCGTGACCTACTTTTTGGTCGACATACTAAGAAAACCCAAGATGCATCTACTGACAAAGTTTGATGATTCTAAGCCAACAAATACCTGAGATACTTAAATATAGATATAAAATGTCAAAAGTAGGTCACCGTGACCTACTTTTTGGTCGTTAATCTCCAAAAACCCAAGATGCATCAACTGACCAATTTTCATGATTCTAAGCCAATTAGTACCCGAGATACATAAATCTAGCCATTAAATGTCGAAAGTAGGTCACAGTGACCTACTTTTTGGTCGACATTTGTGAAGATCAAAGATGCATTAACTGACAAAATTTGATGATGATATGTCTAATAGTATTCAAAATATGCCTTTTAAATAATTTGAAAACAAATGCCAGCAAAACTTTTTAAAAAGTAGGTCACAATGATCTACTTTTTCCTAAATATGTTTTAAGGCCCAAAGATGCATCAACTTACAAGATTTGATAATTCTAAACCTCTCAGTGTCTGAAATAAGATTAAATGTTCTAGAAAAAGATTAGCCATGAAAGTTAAAAAGAAGGTCAAGGTGACCTACTTTTAAGCTGAATTTTTTTGAAGACCCAAGATGCATCAACTGACAAAGCTTGATGATCGTACGCCTTAGAGTATCAAAAATATGCATCAAAATCAATTTGAAAACAAAAGCCCGTAAAATTTAAAAAGTAGACCTACTTTTGCATTAAGATGATGTCAAGTCCTGAGATGCATCAACTTACAAGATTTGATGATCCTAGTCTTTATAGTAAGCAAAATATCAACGTTTTTAATAAGTGTAAATTTTGGTCAACTTTGAAGTGACCTTGAGACCACGCCCTTTGCCCCAGGGTCATGCCTTGAACAATTTTTAATCTTCAACATATCCCGACCCTTGTATGTAAGTTTGGTGAAAATCTGCCTGGTGGTTCTGGAGAAGAAGATTTTTTAGCAACCAGTACTTTTGGTTTTATTTTCGTGATTATCTCCCCTTGTTTTAGGGTCCTACCCCTAGTTTTAGTATAAATGGTAGCCCATGGGCCAAGGATACGCTGTGACAAATTTGACAATAATTGGCCAAGGGGTTCTTGGGTTATGGCCAATATTCTAAAAAGTTAACGCACACCGCACACCGCACGACGCACACCGCACAAATGGCCATAGCATTAGCTCTTTGAGCCTTTGGCTCAGAAGAGCTAATTATAAAAGCTACAATGATATCAACTATAGGTCGTTTAACGCATTGTACGCGCATGCATATGCAAGATGATCTTTACAAAATATATTTTACTGTTTTTCAAATATATTGGCCATTTTGCGTATTTTGCATGCGCACGTGCATCTATGCATGTTCATGCATTCATTTTGATAGTACCATAATTTAGGAATCCATTATACCTATATATTCATATTCTAAATTTTATCCCGTTCCCTTGAAAACTAAGAAAGTTATAGGCATTTAAAGTTTCAGCCAATCAGATTGCAGCACACATGCATGCGCATGCTTTCCATGATAATTCTTATATATCGTGCTGTAGATCTTTATAACGTATAACCATGTTCAAAATTTCAAAGGATTTTTTCGAAAAGCAAGAAAGATATTGAGACTTTAGTTTCAGCCAATCAGAGATCTTGCTTTTTTGACCATGTCATCTTGTCTATGCTTCTAATATATACTTATAATATGAGTTTCAAAGCATTTCATCGATAATTTAAATAGTTACGTCTGTATCAATTATATTGGACATTTCTCGTGTTGCACGTGCGAGCTCTTGCAAGCACACGTGCATGCACATGCTTTCATGATAATTCTTATATATCATGCTGTAGATCCTCCCCAATGTATGACTATGTTCAAAATTTCAAAGGATTTTATCAAAAAACAAGAAAGATATTGAGACTTTAGTTTCAGCCAATCAGAGCGAAGCGCACGTGCATGTGCGTGAGATCTTGCTATTTTGACCATGACATCTTGTGCATACCACTAATATATCCTTACATTATGAGTTTCAAGACATTTCGACAAAAAATAGAAAAGTTACAGTTATATCCATTATATATTGGTCATTTCATGTTTTGCACGTGCGCGCTCTTGCAAGAAGTGCGCGCAAAATGACCTTGATTCCGCAAATCTACATAACATGCCTACTTACCCTAAAAAGGTTTCACCTAAGCCGGATGTGTAGTTTAAAAGATCACTCGCGGACAAAATTTTCCCAGGAAGAAAAATAATAAGAAGAAGAAACAGAGTAAAAACAATATGTTCCCCAACTTCGTTTGGGAAACATAATGAATCCCATCACATGGCATGCCTCAAAGAAGAATGTGCTTAAATTTCAAGTATCTGCAATAAGTAGTTGCTGAGAAAATTGCGACCAAAATTTTGTTACGAACAGACACACAGACAGACAGATTGACAGAGACACTAAGGTAAAACAGTATACCTCCTCTCCTTTGGAGCAGGGTATAAAAACTAGGTAACCTGCGTCACTCAGGTGACCTTAAAATGTTGAAAATGCCAGGACCAAGATTCAATAATTATAGGCAAACTGCTAATTATAAAAGAATTGACAAATATACTTACAATTTCCGAATTCCTGAGGGTTTTCTTTGTCCTGGATATACCTTTTCCTCTGGTTCTTTGTTGATTGGACCCTCCACTGGTAGATCCTCCCCTTGGTATCTAAATTTATTACAAACTCTTTTAATATCTTTATGCTAAATAAAAAAAATTCCTATTACATTTTCTGTTTTAAATTGGATTATATACCATAGAATGGGTAATTTTGACAGTTACTCAATTTTGAGACCTTCTTTATTCAGTCTAATTTAAAAAAAAATCAATCAAAAATCCAATCTCAAAGCTTTTTACACTGTTTTTCAAAAAATGCTTAAAAAGGATTCTGAGTGCTACATATACAGGACATCAAATAATAAATACACACTAGATGAGATTTCGTTGCGAGCAACGAGTAGAGCAACGAGTAGGTCTTCCGTTCGATTTTTGATAAGATCATAAAACAACTTCAAATGAAAAAAATGTTCATATGAATTATTCAAAATACGTGAGAACACATTAAAGAGTGAAATCTATAAATTTCAAACAACTTCAGGTCCTTATAATTCACTTCCGGTGTGACCGGAAGTACTTAAAATGACTTATTATTCCTCTCTGAGTGTGAAGGAATCATCCCTGATAATTTCGAGGAAAAATGCTCATTTTTTGGACTACTTCCGGTTTGGAAAAAATAACTTCCTGTGGACATAATATAACTTGAGACTCTCTATTTGCCTCCATAAGAATCATTTAGAAAAGAAAAAAATAAAATTTTGCATATTTTTAAACTACTTCTGGTGGACAACGGACGTGACCGCAACAAAAATTTTATATCCTTCTCAAATCTACGAGTCATAACTATCATCCCTGAAAGTTTCAGGACTCAATTTCCAACCGTTTTCGAGAACACTCTCGGACAAAATGACACTTCAAAAATAGAAAATTGGCAGTATCTCGCAACCGAAAGTGACAACGGCAAAATAAAAAAAAATGCCTAAAGTTCAAATAGTTTCCAATCATTGCTGAAAAGTTTCATGAAAATCTGTTGAGGCGTTCTCGAGAAATCGTCTGCACAAAATCGGTAAATAAAAAAATAATAATAACTAGATGCGATCTCGTTGCGAGCAACGAGTAGGTCTTCCGTCCGAATTTTCGATGAGATGAGATATGACTTTGACTATGATCTTTAATAAAACATCATGGAATCATGCCTTTTCTCGTTTGATTAAATCCTTTTGATTTAGATAATATCATCAATGCGTACTTAATTTGCACATTAATTCTTTTCTTTTTTCTACTTTGAGAAACAACCAAAACCAACTAAAGAAGACTTGTAAGGAGACCTTGGATTATGAATGTAGTTTGACATAGAATTGCAACGAACTTACGACGTGACAATCCAAGTATCCCTACACATTTCATTGCTCCTTATGTTACTTTCGTTCACGCAAACGCTCGGCTGCCTCTGTTAACCGCTATTGCGAAATGTCGGAATTGACAGAGACCGCCGCCATTTCGTTCCCGCTTCAGATTTTTGAATGTTAATATCTCGAGTTTGAATTTATAAATTTACAAACGAATTATATATTCAGCCTAATAAGAAATGTTTCTATCAACTACACTAATATAATTTGAAATATTGAAAAACAAAAAAGTTAAAGACGAGAGACTTTTGGCCCCTCTATGCCCCCAATTTGAAGGACTTACCCCGTTTACTTGATATCAAATGAAAGGTCTCACTATATTGCACATTTTTTATTATATATGTCTTAACAAAATATTAACAGGTAAAAAGATATAAAAGAAAACGTTTCAATTTTTGCGCGATGAGTATGAGGCTATTTTTCGATCCAGGCGAGCGTCGATGCCTTTTTACCTGGAAAGCTCTATCTGCAAAATGTCACATCTACTATCCTTCCTCTACCTTCACTGAAAATCTCAAGTCGATATCTTAAGTCGTTTAGGAGGAGATCTCAGGACAAGCTGACCCTCTAAAAATCAGAAAATCGTCCATATCTCACGACCGGAAGTGACGACGTACTTACGAAAAATTTCCGACAAGGTTCAGATAAATATCTATCAGATCTGAAAATTTGGTGAGAATCGGTCTAGCCGTTTCCGAGAAATCGCGTGCACAAAATCGGTAAGAAAAAAAATAATAATAATAGGGAAAAAGAAACCGAACGAAAACAATAAGGTCTTCCGTTGGAGACGGAAGACCTTAACAAGATGTGAAACTCATTGCGAGCAACGAGAGGTCTTCCGTCCGATTCCGGAAAGAAAAAGTAAAATCGAGCTGAAAAAGTAAAAAAAAAAGATTTCCACACAAGGGGGGTTGAACCCAAGTCGCCAGCATGAATTTCCAACACACTAAATATAACGCTATCGGGACCTCTACTCTAAATCTACTTATATATTAACGAAACAGTTCTTCTCTCTTAAAATTATGAAAGGCGGGTCACTATTCAAAATTTAGTGCCAAACGCCATGAGTTAATCTTCGCCCCTTCTCTTTGGAATGTTCTATTAAATAGGGGGTGATAGCTTCAATGAAATTAAGAAAAGAACGTTCTTATAGCCTAAGATTTGAGGTTTAGAAAGTATATTTAACACATTTTAAAAATTCCATATTGTATATATGCACATAACACTAAAGCAGTGAAACGGCTATGAATTTTTTTCAACTTCCTGTTTATCCCCAAAGTGAACTATCCCGATTAGTTAATCGAAAAGGTTGAAACGTTTCGCCGAAGAATATGGCTCGCCCTATGACGGTCAAGGAATCAGATATCATTTATGCTCAATAACTTGAATCAGGTCTTTGAGACAAGAATGCTCAAATAAACTCCATGAAGCGATCTTAAAAAAAAAATCGTTTTCTTATTTTTGCATTATTTATTAGTTTAGTATGACACAAGTGTGAATAGGAAAAACCGAGTGGTTAAGACAGCCGCCATTTTGGACCCGCTTTAGATTTTTGATTGCTAATATCTAGAGTTTAGATTTATCAACATTCAAACAAATTAAATAGTAAGCATTATAAGGAGGGTTTCTATTAAGATACCAAAAATAAATGAAAAATACTGAAAAACAAAAAAGTTAGAAAATACGATTTTTTTAAATTTGCATCTCATAACGACCGGAAGTACTGACGACGCATGAAAAGGTGCTTCTGCAAACCAGAAAGTCATGATCTATCATCTCCAATAAGTCTCCATATCATATAATTTGCCATTTTCGATAAAAGTGCGCGACAAAATCGCATTTTAAAATCAGGAAATTGTCCATAACTTGGCACCAGAAGCAAATTTTCCAAATTTTTCTTCGGATGTAACAACTTCATATAATGACACATATTTTGTGAAAGTGTCATGAGAAACCGCTGAATAGTTTTCGAGAAATCGCGTGCACAAAATTTTTGTCAAAAAAAGAATAATAATAAGAAACAGTACAATCACTATAAGGTCTTCTGTGAAGACGGAAGACCTTAATAATAGTGGAAAAGAAACAACAGAATCAGTAGAAGGTCTTCTGTTGGAAACGAAAGACCTAAATAAATTTGAAACCACTTTCTGCTTTCAATCATTATAGTAATCTTTTTTCCTTTATAATTTCAAATGTACTTAATTACGAGTCTTGAACACTTGTGATTGATATTCCAATGTCAAACATAGGTAATCAAAGATTACAAAGCTCACCTCAACGAATGTTATCAGTTTAAGTAATGCAAATCTCAATCATAAATTTCTTAACAGTAAGTATTTATCTAGCTGCAGATTTGTAGCATTATGGTTTTTATATTTGCCTTTGACAATAACGCTACAGATCTTGCATTGCAAAAATGGTGCAATTTACAGTGCAATATTTTTTTTGCACTTTTAGGGAGAATTTCTCCACTTTCCAGCATCGGTCAATTAACTTGTTTTTCACTCCTTATTTCTAGGCACATTATTTTACTTATCTGTATATTTAATCCATCTCCCAACCCTTTATAGTTGTCTCTACAAGTGATAAACTCACTTGATTAAAATTATTTGAAATTTAATAGATTTAAATTATTATTTATAAACAATGTATTTTCTATCCCACTTTGTTCCTGTTTAACTATTGTTAATACTATTAAGTTTGTTATATAACATGAAAATCTGCATAATTCTGTTGTGGGGTAGCATTTCTAATTATAGAATTTTTGGTCAGATAGGAGAGATGATATTGACTAATGAGAATAGAGTAACCGGGGGCATTGATGCCTAGAGGGGGAGTCTGTACTGTTCCATTTGCATCTAGACGCTTGTGTTTGCAGCTATTATTTTCGTTCGTTTTTCCCTATATTCTACCGATTTACACTATGCAATACATACCTCTGTATTGTTACATGGTTATTTAAATAGCTTGTGGATCTGTTTTGGACTAAATTTTATTTGATATCGGGATAATTGTGATTTTCTATCTTGATTCGGTGACTGGACCGTGTGACGCCATGGAACCTAAGCATACAAGATCTATGCCCTACAGTTATAACCTTGATTTACTGGAAAATTGGACTTCCGCACAACTGAAGGACTCTTTAAATTCTCGCAGGATCGCTTTCCCAGCCAATGCGTGCAGATCAGTGCTGATTCGTTTATATACAGACAGTGTAGCAAGTGTGCGATCCCACAATGCAACGGGTCAACTCAACAGAGACAGCGACCCTGCTCTGCGATCCAACAATGCACTGGACCAAAACAGCAATGGCGGCGACCGTCAAAACAACACGCTGGTGGATGTAGTTTCCAAGTTAACCTCAACGGTACCGTCCTTACAACAAAATGTCATAAATCTAACATCGAAGGTTAATTCTATGACACAAGGAGCTGGTCTGCAGACGAGTGCGAATGCCGTTAGTAATGCCCAGAGCCAACTTAGCCAAGAAAGAACGTCCGCAACTACTGGTTCCTCGGCCCCAGAGAAAACAGATTTACGTTAGACACAGCTTTTGCCCGCATTTCGGCATCAGCGGCCAGCTCAGCGGAACAAATGACGGAACTTCGGAGAACCCACTATGGATTTGCTGCAGAGTCCCTTCCTCTGGTGGAAACGATTTCGCCGCAAATTGGTCAACAAATCACAGCAGGTAAAGACGTC